AAACTTATTGGGAAACTAACATTCCTTCTTGCATCTCACCTATGGGATTTAAAAAAAATCTTCTTGGTGTGCACCCATTAGACATTCCTTTAGGAAGAATCTATTGGTAAACTCGGTTTTTTTGTTGTTTGTTTCTTTTGGTTTTTTGAGACAGGGTCTCACTATGTAGTTGAGACTGACCTGGACCTCACTGTGTAGCCCAGCCTGGTTTCCAATCACAGCAATCCTCTGCCTCAGCCTCCCAAATGCTGGGATTACAGGGGTGCTCCACCACCCCTGGCTATAAACTCAGTTTTCATTTCTTTTCAAATGTCTTTGTTTTTCTTGAAAAACATAATTTTGCTGGGCATGTAATCCCATGTTAGCAAATTATTCTTGGGTTATTGAGCATTCCAGTGTGTTCTGAGCATTGTGAATGTTCTGATCATTCCAATGTATTCTGGTGCCCACTGCAGCTGTTGAGAAATGCAACCAGTTCAATGGCCAGATGGCAGGCACGGCTCAGTGCCATTCCTTTGTAAATGAGCCGTGCTGTCTCCAGCCTTGGCCATTCTTTGTCTTCATTGCTCTGACGTTTCATGAGATGTACCTAGATGTGAAATAGGTGTACATTCTTCTTGCTATATTGGAGGATTTTTATTTTTCACCAATTCTTGAAATTTGTCAGCCACTTTCTCTTTCAATGTTACAGTTGATCTCATGTTTTCTCTTCTTTTATTTTTTTAATGTGGTTTTTATACTACTGAGTTTGACTTTATACTACCGAGTATGAGGTTTTTTTTGGTACTGGGGATTGAACTCGGGTCCTTGGGCTTTTGAGGCAGGTGGCGGAACCACTGAGCTAAATCCCTAGCCCCTTCTCTTCTTTTCTTGTGGGATTCCAACTTTATATATTTTAGAGCTCCTTGTTCCTTGTCTAAACTTTTCTATATGTTTGTCTCTCTTTAATACACTATGGAGAGCTTTTTCAGACCCATCTTTCAGTATACCAACTTTTTCTTTAGCTGTATCTTTTGATGAACCAAGTACTAAAAATTTAGTTTCAGTGGTTATATCCTTTTTTAATTTCCAGATGTTATACTATTTTCCTACATTTACCTTGGCATATTTATAACCTCTTGTTCCTTGTTTATTTTTTATTCCATCTTTTACTTATTTAAGCATTTCACAATAGCTTCTTTAACTTATCCAATCCTTCCAAACTCTTAAGTTCTTAAAACTTTAAACATGTTATTATTTCTGCTAATTCTCTCTCATGGTGATTTGAAACCTTGTCTATTTAGTAATTTTTTGTGAGTATAAATTTTAGGGCCAGGATTTAGCTCAGTGGTGCCACTACCTGCCTTGCAAGTGCAAAGTCCTGAGTCGATCCCTGGTACAAAAAAAAAAAAAATCATAAGTGTTACTGAATTTAATCCAGTAGGCTGCATTGAGGGTGTTTCCTTCCAAGGAGGGTTTGATTTGCTTCTACCGAGGCCACTTCTACAGGGAATATTAATGTAGGACCATTGAAATTTTTTCTGTTTCTTATTTTGTTCAAAGAGAAAGTAAAAATCCCAACCATGTATCCATGAGAGCAGGACTTACATGGAAACTGTTTTTACTAATTTTGACATCTGGTGCTACCACTATACATTTCCTCTGC